AGTAGTAGTAGTAGTAGTAGTAGTAGTAGTAGTAGTAGTAGTAGTAGGTAGTAGTAGTAGTCGTAGTGGTGGTGGTGGTGGTGGTTGTTGTTGTTTTCGTTGTAGTAGTAGTAGTAGCAGCAGAAGTATATGCAAAATCAAGTTAATGAAAATATCGCATATGCATCCCACCCCCTAAACAATTCCTTTTTTCCCTTACCCGAGGCTTGTGTACTACACCCTTGGACCAACTGTTTGGGGCGGTGTGCTTGATGAGTTTTGATAGGGGTAAAAAAATGGTTTTCAGGTCAGACTTCCGTGAACCAAACAAACCTTAGAAGAGTCAAGCAAAGATCTTAAAAGGCAAGAATAGAGTAATATAGAACTAATATTCAATATTTTCCTCGGGCTCAAGTTTACTAATTAATCCCACCGTAAACAATTCGTATTATTCACTTACCCGGGGCTTGTGAACTACCCCCTTGAACAAGTGTTTGGGGCACTGAAGTCGAGTCAGCAAACTAAAGATGATGGGCACCCTGGCCAATCTTTTTTTGCATATTTGAAATTGTTTTAAACATAGCTGATCTTATTTTTAAGACTTGCGACTCGCGACGACAGGCAACCACTGGAAATGTAGATTTACCTTTTTTTGTGAGGTCCTGAGTAAGGAAGTCAGCAAGAAAATAGTGAACATAGGTTGGGGTGTTGCGCAACATGTGGAAAAAAGCAATCAAAAAGTGATTGCGGAGATAGGAAAGCAACATGGACAGGAAAATAGTGAGCAAATAGCAAGAAAAAAGTGAGAAAACTGACATATTGTGAAACGCCTCCCGAAACGACGCGCGACGTTTATATATTAGGTTTCGATTCTGGGTTGCTTTTGGATCACATTTTGGTCACCTTTTTTTCTGCGTTCTTCTTGCTTTTGGTATCCAAATATTTCAATCACATCACCTTTGGATCGCTTTCTGCTCGCCTTTCCGCTCACTGTTTTTTTGACTTGTCCCCTATCCTACACTCTGAGATTGCTTTTCGTTTGCTCCAACTCCTACTCCGAAATCACAAAAAAACCTATTTTGGCAACCCTCAGCGGTTGGCTGGACTCCATCTCTTAATCTTATTTAAGCTTAAATTGTCACAAATAAGATTAACTATGCTAGGATATGAATCAAACAAGATTTAAAAAGACACAATTAAGATTAAATATGATTAGAACCTAGTAAAAGTATGAGTGAACCAAAAGTATTTTCACGAGTAAGTCCACGAGTCGAGCCACGAGTGAACTTGCAAACGCAATGAAAGTACAACGCTTCCTTTCACGATCAGTCAACGAGTCGAGCGACAAGTGAACTTACAAACACAATGAATCAAGTGCTAATACAAACGGTTCCTTTACGATAAGCGACGAGTCGAGGAGCACTGTGCTGCCAGGGATTGTAACAAGTAAGGTTATTGAAACTAGTCAAGTGTTGGCTGAAGAGCTCTGCGCTGGCAGGGATTGCGACAATTAAGTTTCTTGAAACTAGTCAAGTTTTGGCTGAAGAGCACTGTGCAAGTAAGGTTCTCGCAGCTGAAAATGCTCTCCAAGGCCAACTGCAGTCCAGAAGGCTTTGTCAAATCATGATGTTCTTCGCTGTACAGGATATACATGTTCATCCCAGACCACGCACGTTTGATGCATTCCCTGCTAAGGTTGCCCTTGCCTGCAAAGTCCTCCGCAAACTCAAATTGGGATTCATGCGCTATCTCTGCACGGGGCTTTCAACAGCACAGCACCAAGGCTGTGAGCATGTCAACCAAGCACCAGCCCTGCATTTCTGGAAAGACTTTGAACAGCACTGCACACCAGCGTAATGTTGCCAAAGAGTTGTTGCTAGACTTATCCAGAATACATTGAAGGTCAGACATGAAATCGGGTTTTCCCCAACTGAAACTACAAGTTTCATCAATCGGAAGTCTTCTGCTTCGCCACGGTATTGCAGCGCATGATTTCTTCCTTGGCAGACGCTCTCTTGTGAATTCGTTTCAGCAGAAAACGACGCGTTACTACTAATCAAAGTAGTTTGCCAACATGCCAACATTGACGACATCGAACTTCCTACTTCGTTGCGGGGTTGAAACCCTTCAGAGATGAGTGCTTCCTTTCAACTTCCCACGCTTCTTTTGAGCAAGTCCAAGGTCACACCCTAAGTCACTAAACGAACCTCAAATATGAGAGTACGCGAGGCTTCATATGTAGGGCGCGACCTTTTGGCACCAGAATTGAGGTTGTTTTTGGCCCCAAAAGGTCGCGCTATTGGCGATCACCAGAAACAGATTGAGTTCCGAACGAGCAAACCCACTTCCTCATTCTCACAAGAGCCTTGCCTTGGGTCACACTCATATTCAGACACCAAACCAAAGCACACCGTTCACTGTTCAAATCAAATACCATCATCGTACACCTTATATATTCACTACAATAGATCTATGCATTACTCTTGCGCACGAAGCGCACCGAGCAAACACAACTCCATCACAAGTGTCTATTTATGATTTGGAATCATACTTTAATCATTACTATTCCTCTTCCGCGTGAAGCGCGTGAAAAACACTGAACTGAACTGAACTGAACATTTCAATTAAATACGCTGAACTGCAATCCTCCAGTTGCCGCACTGACAAGCAAGCATGTAGAACGAAGGTTATTGAAGTCCAATGGCGCTCAAGAATCAAAGTACTGTTCACATTCATAAGACACACTGATCTCTATAGGCTAAGGGAAAACCTTTTGATTGTTTCAAGCAACCAATTCACACTGAATCACAATCCAGCATCGCACATTTTTCCAAAGATGACATGTCACGTCACTCACCCCAGAACTAATTGGCTGGCTGTAGTCTCTTATTATGCCGGTACTTTTCCCACATAATAACCCACCTCATAAGACAAAAATCACTGAGCGCGTGTGGACCAACCACGCAGTCAGTCAGACACTTTGACAAACCCTCATCAAATCTTTCAAGCCTCTGGTCTACAACGGAACCATGATGCCCCTGATTGACACCTGTAAGGGCAGCTCTCGTCTAACGTTTTGCCTGTTCACGCAGTCCGAGTGCACCATGTGGCCACATGACAGGGCTCTAAGCGCTTGCTCACTTTCCACCATCTCATTATGACAGGTCATGCACGGTTGCGCAAGCGACTCTCCAGGCACATCGGCAATTGTCCACCAGCAGAAACTGCATCAGCAACAGCGCCACGGTGCCCATCAGCAACAGCACTGTCCCCATCATCATCAGGAAAAGCAGTGACATTCGCATCTCCAACCGTGGCGCTGTGCCCTTCAGCAATAACACCAGTGCTGTTCCCATCATTAGGCCTAGCAGCTGCTCTTGCTGGGGCTGCTGGTCGTCTTCCTCGGGCTTTTCCCCTGGGTTGCAGGCGAACCATCATCCAGTCATGTGACCAGCCCGCTTCAGTAGCAAATGAAATGATCTCCAAATCTTCCATCTCATGAAATCTTACTTGCGCAGTGCCCTTCAGCAACAGCAACTAAGAATGCAAACTGTGACAGTCAGTCAGCTTGCATATAGTTCTTGTGCCTACCATGTCAAGTGACTCATGAATGAATGAATGAATGTCAGTCAGTGAAGGTTGCACCACCCAAAGGTTTAGCTGGTTATAAAATCACAATTTCAAAACAGTTTATCTAAAACAACTGATGAAGTATCAATAGTAATATACTCTCAAATCCGAAAGACGAATTCATATGTCATAGCAAAATGAGGATGAGAATGAAATGCTGACTCAAACACAATAAATTAAAGCGTTTACTTGTCGAGCTTTTATTGAACCTCACGTTCAAATACAAGGGTGTCAAAAACACTTTTTGCATTTTTAATAAGTTTCAATCATTCTTTGCCTTTTCAAAGCAATACAAGTGCACAAATAAGATTTAAAAAGCTTCAAACAAGATGAAACAAGCTTCAAATGAGACTTGATGTGCTCAATGTGATTTGAATATAATTTAGTTTTCCTGTGAACAGGGGTGCCCTAGAGAAGGGTGCCCATCTGGAGGGTCATCTTTAGTTTGGAGAGTCAGAGTTCCGTGAACCAAGCAAAACGTAGACGTAGTAGTAGTAGTAGTAGTAGGAGTAGTAGGAGTAGTAGTAGTAGGAGTAGTAGGAGTAGTAGTAGTAGGAGTAGTCGTAGTAGTAGTAGTAGTATAGTAGTAGTAGTCGTCGTCGTCGTCGTCGTCGACGACAAAAAATCAGAAAAGCCTGGGCAAAACAACTTTCTATTTTTCCCTCCCACTAAACTATTCAGGGTGTTGGTATAATTTGGCGAAAACTTATTCATATTCCCTTCCACTTGGCAATTGACTACATAGGATCCGACATTGAGGACGCCCGTAACAACGGGCTGGACAGTCAGAACACAGAAGCAAGCTAGCAATGGAAAATGCATCATATATGGGAAAGGAACAAACCAATCAAACGGGACAACAGTGCTTTTGAAGATTGTTATAGGTGATTATAAAAACGATTGAAACAATTTGCCGGATATGGATTTGGATTGGCGCCATAGAAAACAGGAGCAACCACATTAAGGCGTGAAACAAAAAGTTTTGCTTGAGAAGAAACTGAGCCGTCAAAGCAGGAGCCAAATCAGACTCGAACAAACTTCTTAAGAAGGGAGCGCAAACTACTCAGCTACTTCACTTCGAGCGACCCCCACCATGTCAATTCAATCTGACAAAACTGCGGGCATGTGTTGAAACACTATTTTGGAATTCTTTCGGCCACATGCTGCTTGTCAGATGTGCTGTGACTGACATTCTTGCAAGACAGCGGCGTGCCGCCTGTCAGGTGTCTGGTCCAGCAAAGGCAAAGGAAGAAGAGGTGCGCAGGACACAAAACAGAAACATTTTCTTGCATGGACATGTATTGCGACAGTCTACCTGGAATATGTTCTAAACTTCTACTTGCCATATTGTCTGATATGTTCGTAATTGTGTGTGTTAGTGGTTGTGTGTCTGTGTTCGCGGTTATGTGATTGTAGTAGTGTGCTGTGGTTGTGCATTGTGGTTGTGTGCTGTGGCTGTGGATGTGTCTTTGTGGTTGTGTGTTGTGATTGTGTGTTGTGGATGTGTCTTTGTGGTGTGGCTGTGTGTTTGTGATTGTGTCTTTTATACAGTTGTGTTTGTGGTTATGTGTTTGTGTTGTGTGTTGTGGGTGTGTGTGCTGTGGTTGTGCGTTGTGGTTGTGTGTTGTGGATGTGCCGTTGTGGTCGTGTGTTTGTGATTGTGTCTTTCTAAATAGTTGTGTTAGTGGTTGTGTGGTTGTGGTTGTATGCTGTGGTTGTGTGCTGTGGGTGTGTTTTTGTGGTTGCGTGTTGTGGTTGTGTGTTGCAGATATGTCCTTGTGGCTGTGTGTTTGTGATGTTTGTGATTGTGTCTTTGTAGTTGTTTTTGCGGTTCTGTGTTTGCGGTTTTGTGTTTGTGGTTGTGTGCTGTGGTTGTGTCTTTGTGGTTGTGTGTTGTGGCTGCGTGCAGTGGTCGTGCGTTGTCGTTGTGTGCTGTGGGTGTGTCTTTGTGGTTGTGTGTTTGCGATTGTGTCTTTGTCGTTGGTTGTGTGCTTGTGGTTGTGTGTTGTGGTTGAGGTCCGCCGGTGAACAATGCCGTCGGAAGCTGGCGGTTGAGCTCCGGCGGGGAACACTGCCGTCGGGAGCTGGCGGTCTGGCGGAAAACACTGCCATCCGACACTTGCGGTTGAGGAGGCGAGGAGGAGGAGAAGGCGGAGAGCGGGAAGCGAGGCAGCTAGCATAAAAATCTAACAACCCTCACCTGACAGGTGGGGAAAAGGGAAATAACACATCAAAACTGATAGGTGCTAAGAGTTACAGGGTTATGGAGGAAAATAATTGGTCTCCAGTAGGTAGGTTGTGATTGTTCTTGTGGCCCTTCCGCACCAAATCAAACAAACCTGGTAGTATCATTGACACATAATTTTTTAAAAAAACAAAACAAAAAAACGAAAAACAAATAACCATTCCTGAGAGGTCTTGAAGTGGTCACCTTGAACCGCATAAACATGTTACACACACATACACACACGTCACATGCATACATTTTCCATGTTCCTTGCTGAGATCCCCCCACCCGGACTGTTTATGAACATAATATAACATAATATTGTTGTCCAGTAATCTCTGGTCTTCATTGAAGGTGCTTGGCATGGCATGGTCCGTCCCTGAAATTCGGTGTGGATCTGACAGGGAAAACTGCACTGCCATGGCTGCCATCTGTTGCGGCAAGCTACTGGTGCTTCGTGTTGCTTGAAGTGGGGTGCGGATTACAAGAACTTGCAAAACACTTCTTTGCCTAGGGCCTAAGGCTTAAATCATGCTCGCATAGATGCAGTCAGGATGCCCGGGTGCACCAAACTTAGATGTTCACGGAGATTGTTGGTTCGCTTCTGCTAGCAAATTAACAACAATTCTTAACACTGCTCAAAAGAAGTAAACCCACGGTTTGAATATAGGATACCAACAAAATGCAAAACAACAACACAAACACCCGACCTTCAACACATGTAAACTGAAAGCATCAACACATTGACACCCACCTGGTCCAGCTCAGCCTGAAGATGGACGGACCGCCGAACGATGAGGCCGAACAAACACATTAGAGGTGGATATGAAATTGAATTTCAATGCGTCAGAACCTAGAACGCGTGTATTCCTTTAATGTTACACCCTTCCTGGGGTCTCCTTTGCACATGCCCTTTTGGCTAATGTGTGCACGCACTCTGCTTCATGATATTCGGCTCATGTGCGAAAGTTCGTTCTGCGCACACCACTGAACGCACAAACAAACTCATTTGAGTGTAGGTGGGGGAAACATGTTATGCCCCTGTGTCAATGCTGCTGCAGCCACGTAAGGCCACACCTCTTGCGAGACCCCTTTCCAAACCCTCGTGTCGAGACCAATCTCTTTCAATAATCCTCTCCTAGCCTGCCTCTTTCCAAATCAGCCTCTGTCGAGAATGCTTTCCAAACCATTCCAAACCCACATCTTTTGAGACCTGCCTCTTTTGAGAACCACCCCTTTTAGCACTTTCGATTCGAGACCCTTGAGAACCCACCCCTCTATCGAAAATTTGCCACGCAAACACATCGGACACTAACCAAAAACTGCAAAATACACGATTTACATATTTTTATTTATAGTGAGTTTAGCGAGGGCAGCACGCAACAAACAGGAAACCTGGTTCCTGCATAGCCAAGCGCTGTCTCCTAAGCACATGCAATGAATGTGCAGCTGGGGAAAGCAGTGCTAGTGTAGACAACCTGACAGCCGTTTCTATTCCTTTCTAGAACACCGGTTTGCAGGTTTATGAACCTTTGAGACGCACCCTTCAAGATTAAACCTCGAACACATCAATTGACTTCGTCAAGGAACGTGATCAAACGAGTTACCGACGCATACAGTCGAGTCACGTTTGGCGTGTTGAGACGATGCCCTGTCCAAATCAAAACTTAACCATGAAAGCTGTCAACAACCAGCCACACAGAATATGTCCTCAACCCGTTCCGACATGTCCTGTTTGTTGGGATGGTCAATCACACGTTTCAAACCAAAGTAGTTAGAGTTGTTTGGGTTTGCGAATAGTTTAATGCATTATGTTTTGGGCTGCTTCGAAATTGAACAAAAAAACCTGTGCATAAAGGCTGGGAGTCCTTACTATTTGCAACCACGGGCCACCAAAAAACAACGAGTTAGACATATAGTCATGCGAGAAGAAGCGTCGCAAAACTGGCCTTGATAGCAGCCAGTTTCTCGCGTTCCTTCCGTTTCTTCTCTTCCTTGGCCTCAAATACAGCAGAACAAATTGGTGTTTGGGCACTCCTATGCATCACTACCAAGATTTCACTCATTCACGCTGCGCAGGAAAAAACTGATCAGTCAAAATCCAAAAGTTTCAGTTCAAATGAGATTTGTGGAATTGATTTGGGAACCGTCGAAACCCACAAAAACACATCGTGGCAAGTGTGCACGTGATATGAACTGCCCAAATCATGCATTAGGATGTAACATGGTCGTTGTTGCCCCGTTGCTTTTGCACAGAACCAAAACACATGCGGTCAGGTGCACGCATGCATGGCCCAAGAAACCAACCCGCCCCAATGTCCAACTTCATATCGAGTCAGTTGAAAATGCTAACCACATATATATATATATAGAGTACTATAGTTATACTTATATTTAAAGCACCACTGCATAGTTCCAACGTGCTGCCAAGGCCCGACAAACACTTGGGAGTGTCCTAATCAACCCAATCACCCATGTGATGTCGTGTCTGTCACGGCATCCGGCACATGCATGGGAAAAAACAAATTAAGGACCTCGATATACCTCGATGATGGTTTCGCCAAACAGTCACACAAACAACACTATTGGTTGAATGTGGACCAATAATTAAAACAAAACACCAAACAACAAACACAATTTGCACTCTTTTGCGCAATTGCGGATCTATTTGCTGAGATGCAAATGCAAGTGAATGTGGGGCATACGTCCAAAACCAAATGCGGCAGAAAACAGACCGCCTGCCAAAGTAGCAACGAAGTTAGACGACCTGGAAAACCCAACTGCGCCAAAGGCTTGTGTCGGACCTTCCCCGAAGACAAAAGTCACTAGAAATCAAAATTTGCTTTGGCATCATGGAAACACAAGTTACCTCATAGAAACAAGAGTTTAAACGCAACACAGACCGAACAATGTTACCCTCAGAAGCCATGTTTGTTCTTCCTTTGCTTTGCTTGGCACATTCTCACATTGTCTCATCTGAGGCGGTTGAAAATAAGGTTGAAGCACACCACTGAAGACTGCACCAGGCAACGCGCCGACAAGAAAGTGGAATCATCAGCATCCCAAATCTGACAGTCCGAAGTGGATAGCCAGCAAAATAACATATTTACATGCCAGGCTTGTGGTATGAGTATGACTGCTCAAGTTCACAAGGTTCCCCGAAGTCAACCCAGTCAGATACTTTAAGCCTGTGCGTGACATCAAATCCACCAGCCTCCGCCCTGAACAATGATAGCGCGCCTCTTTCTCGCGTTGCTTCTCCAGCTCCATGGCTTCGATCTGCGCCTATGGCGGTGCAAGTGCGCACGACAGGGTCAGCAAGCCAAGGCATCTTCTACAGCTTGCGGCCAAAACTTACATTTCCGAGAACTTGAGCCCATCGCAGCGATAGCGATGAGTCCTGGAGCCACGTACTCGTGCGCAGTTAAAGATCTGCCTGCTCACCTCCCAGCCAAACGGGCCGGACGAACCAAACGTTGCACAAAGCTACGAGGTTCTGCCCCTACCTCGTTCTACTTTCATTGGGCAGCGACCAAGCATCGTTCGACCGGCAGGCGTAGAGCATTGTTGCCTTTGTTCAGGTCTTTGTGGTTCGGCAATGCGTGACATCATGTCGTACAGTGGGCCCCCAAAAAATAGAAGAGTTTCCAGGACGCAAACGTCTTGGAAAATGTTGGTGCAGTTTGACCGTCAACGTGTGCAAATAGCAGGGAAATAGAATGGTTTGATACCATCTGAACCTGTTTTCCTTTTGTTTCGCGCTGGCATCTGCGACAAAATCTGAGGTCTGTCATGTTGGGCCGAAATTGTCTTGAAGTTGCTTTAAGAAAGCCCTCTAACATTTTCCAGGATGCAACTGTTTTATCGTTTGTCTCTCCCTGGTATTTAGACAAGATTTGCGCACGTGTGACAACGATCATGTTATCTGATGTTAACGTTTTTGCCAATAGCATGAAAACAAAGTTAGCAAAGCTTGCTGATATGGGATGTTTACCTAAACTTTTCCAGGATGTAACTTTTGGGGGGAGATCACTATAACCGACAATGAACATCACAGCTAAGGCTCAGCCGGCTTGAACGAGCATGATCAAAACATGCACACTTTGGTCGACCTTCACTTCAACACAAGAAACTTGCCTTGGAGAGTCATTCTCCGTGGCCCACTCCGTGGCCAAAAAAAACACTAATGATGACTGTAGAAAAGCCCTGTTTTTGGTTATATAAGCTACTGTAACAAACAAAGAATTTGTATGCCCTTCGGCCCTTCTTGCATCTTGTTGCTGACTATCACTCTCTTTGCACTGATGGCCCAATCTGTGAAACTTGACATGTCATCGTCATAGCAAGGAGGAACATGTCAGCAGCTGGCAATGTCACAACCGTTGCCCGGTCGGTTGCCGTTTCGACCGGCATGTCGGTCATCCGCCGGGACTCTACGACTCACGACGACGATTCCAACGCTCCGCTCGGAAAACGAACACCGAAGCTCCACCGAGGTCTTCGCGGGTTTCAGTGACACTGACTTGCAGCCGAAACCGTCTGGAAGAAGTGGAGCGGGATCTCAGTCAAACAAGGCTTTCCAGCTTTTCGAAAGGAAAACTAAGTCTCATGTGACACAGTGCAACACAGCGCATGGAGCTTGATTGTACATCTCATTGCATTTTAAAGGATGTCGTGGTTCGACTCTGTCGCATATGACCCGCAGCGGCTCACGAAACCGTGGCAACCTGTGACTCCCACAGGATTTGCGTTGGAATCCTTTTTTTGGGCACTCCAGAGAGAATCCCCCTTCGAAATCTCTGACATGGGTGCCTACGGCACCATGTTTTCTCAAAGAGATGAAGCATGCGTGCCCCCAAAGGCCTTCCAGACCTGATGCATAATTGGTCAAGTCAAAAGTCAAACCAACAGTGTATGAGATTCCATGAAAGGACATGAAAGGACTCCGGTGGGTGCCAAGTGTTCCGTAAAAAAAGGCTACCAACATCTATAGAGACTATCCTTCTTATCTTGTGCATTTGTTGGATCGTCAGCATCAGCCACCGTCAGCATCACCTCAACGTCGTTTCAACACGGCCCAGAATCGGGTGACATCGAACCCGTCGGAGAGAGCAAGGACCGATGTCTCTCTACATGAGTCATGGGTCGTTTTTTGTTGGTAGGTCTATTCCACCAGAGTATATAGAACGAAGAAAGGTTCCTGTTCTGTGCCTTCATCTTCGCTTCTTCCTCCAGCTGTTTCTGACGCTCCGCCTCAGCCTTCAAGCGCTTCTTTTCCTGGAAAGTAAGTGGCCCCAGCAAGCCGAACGTCGTGTTCTCGGTGTTTCCAATGTGTTGCTTGGTCCTTCCCCGATGAAATCTGCCTTGATGGATGGGGAATGAAAAACCTTCGTAGTTCTGTCAGGGGCTACTTCCGGGAATCATTGTCATCGTTGCCCGACATGCGATGATCAAAGGATACCGCGGTGCAGGGCAGCAAGCCAGGATCAACATCTGCAGTCTTCTGTTCATGATGTCCCTCAACTTGGAGCGGACATCTAGGCGGTCAGCTTCTATATTTCATGTCTACGACAATGGCGGATCTGCGTCGATCCATAGTCCGAAGGTGCTCAAAACTTTGACAGGTTATAGTTATATATTAGATGTTATTAGATGTACGCTCTGACCTAACTTGGAAGTGACAAATGCTCTCTTGGAAAAGGACTTTGCAAACGGTTTTCCACTTCCATGCTAGTGAGTCAGAGTGTAGGTTGACCCTACTAAACACCTTCGCAAAAGACTGTAATAAATCGGAGCCTAGACTCATGAGGTATTGCGAGCGCGGCCTTGCAAACCCTGCCCTTGCCGCACCAATTGCATCTGACACTTCTGTGGGAAAAGCAAATACCGAACAGAAGGGATGTCAACTGCCCATGGTTTATCAATATCCATCTATATATCATGAACAGGATTGTACAGGCCTCTCTCTGCTCAGGTGAAAGCTGTTGACGTTGGGAACTCCAGGGCAAAGGCGTCCCAGCAAACGGTGTAGCCCAGCAACAGGGCGTGTGTACTACATCTGGGCTCCAGTGGTGCGGATTCGACCCCACCACGTGATGTGTCAACAATTCTGCCTGGCGGATTCTGGACCAAACCAAACATGTAGCACCGCATGCTTCGAACAAAAGCATGCAATGCTACATGTGCACCAATAATCTACGGTGTTCTCGCACCTGCGCGCTAAGTGAAACACAACGCACTCATGACACTGGAAACTCACAGCAAACATCGCATCGCGAACTCATGCCAGCCTTCTTCTCAAGCTTTTTGGCCTGTTTCTCCAACTTCTTGGCCCTCTTCTCCTCCTGGCAAGATGCGCTTTGGGAGTGAGTTATTACGCCATTCGAGTCATGGAACAGAAATGTTGTCTCATCGTGTGTGTGCAAAGCCATTCTTGGCCGGTGTTCAGGTTGGGAAGAAAACAAACCAAGTTACGATCCCCCACTTTGGGGACCTACTGCGAGGTTCGAAAAAGACATGTTGTTCCAAAGAGGTGGGAGAAACGCACGATGGTGGGAGCAGTGCTCCAAAATGGATTCCTGGAGAGGAGAAACGGTGAACTTTTGTTGATCTACAAAATAGAAAAAAAGTCACACTGGGAAGAAAAGAACCCTTCTCATAGCTTTCTATGCTTGGAACAGTGGATGAGGTGTCAAAGGGGTCAAAGGGCGTCTGCTATAGGAGGTGAGATGTAAATGGTTGTTCAGGGTTTTCCAAGGACACAAGCGACCACAAGGGTGGTGTGAGTGCGGCTACATTGCGGCCCATTTCTCCTTCTTCTCTTTCTTGGATTTGCTATCCTTCTTTTCTTTCTCCTGGCTGACTCCCAGAAATTTTGAGCAGTTCAACATATTTCAACCCATGAATTGAATCACTGTCAAAAAATATGATCTGGTTGGTGGTTTCAGCTCACATGAAAAGCGCTAGTCAGTGGGCTCAGTCATCCAAGCTTGAAGACAAAAATTAAGCCAGCTATGCCGCATAGACCCCAAATAGTAAAAGACATTTGTCGGCAGCATAGCAGCTGTAACCACACTCTAAATCGCGGGCGCCATAGACATCTGGCAGCAGCACCCTGCACCGACACCAAAGCGCACACTGCCACAAACATCTGGCAGCAAAACCCTGCAGCGGCACCCCGCAGCACCTTGCAGTGGCACCAGCAGCAGCAGCAGCAGCAGAGGCTCTAAAGTGCGCGCAGCCAGAGATGTGCCGATGACAGCAATACGAACTGCAGGAAGATGCAGGTGTTTGCAGTCATTTGGCAACACCCTGCAGCGGCAGCCTCCAGAGGCACCACCATCGCTCCAAAGCGCACAAGGGCAACGGCAGCGGCATAATTACTTGAAGTAAGAACTCCGATAGCTCTCGCTATCTGGGGAAGTATCTGAAACCACCACCCAGTGATTTGATGTGAACATCCCCAAACACATTCCACACGGCTTCTGATCGCGATCTCCCATTATCTGGGAACCAAAAAATCTCGTCCAACAGGCAATAGGCCGTAGGATGGACCAGGCTCCACTTCATATATATATATATAATTATATAATATAACTAAGCTGTCCTTTTTCTTTTTGTCTTTCTTGTCCTTCTTGGCCTTTTTCCTGCTATCCATCTTGCTGCAACGCAACAAGTGCTTGCATGGCGCAAGCGAATGCAAAAAACAAACAGGCACCTGCACTTCGAACACACCGCAAATACACGAGAAACCCAACAAGTGATCCTGCATAAGAGGTGTGTTTTCCTCATTACACGCTCCGCTTGGAATCTTCTTGTGGCCCCCTCAAAGGAATTGGTCAACCCTCCTCTGATCAACCATTCAAAAAACTAAGCGAGCCGCAGCATCCCAGCCTCTGGTCTTTCTGAGGTTTCTTGTGGTTTCTTTCAATATACACGTGATATACACGTGGATCTCCCCTGCGTTTGACAACTCTTTGATGAACAGCTGTTCATTGTCCTGTACCAAGAACCACTGGTTTCGCCTTTCGTGGGGGGTTGTCACTGATATCTGTCGACCCTTGCCCGACATCCAGAAGGTCTAAGCGTCTTCTTCTTTGAGGACGAGCTCGATGAGCTCGACGACGAGCCAGAGGATGAGCTAGAGCCACTCGAGGATGAAGAGCTGGAGGAACTCTTCCTGGCCATGGTACAAGAATGACATTCCCAAAACAACCCACATGCCAGGACCTTCAGTACGTGACCTCTTTGTTGTGTCTAAGTGACCTATTGCAGGCCTAAGTGACCTCGTCCTGGGATCTCAAAAGGTCGAAGGTCCTGGTATACCTACTCTGCCTTGGGGCCCTTGGGGTGCAACAATTGGTCAATGTAGACATATCCAGTAACACCTCTTCCAGTCCTTGGGATGAAAACAACACCTCGATCTTTGTCCAAATTCGCTCCATGCGAAGTCGCTCCGCGGTGCGCGTGGATCCTCGAAATTGGGGGAGTTCTTCCGAAAGGATCGAGGGACCCCCTGCCATCGGCCAAGTCTGGCGCCATGCCCGACGCGCACAGAATCGGATATCCCTCTTTCAATTCCTGTCTCCAGGCAGCGCGGCAGATGTTTTGGGCTACATGATTCGGTGTTTGGTGGTGAATGCAGGTGTTTAGTTTTGCATATTTATTGCATTTTATTGCCTGCAAATTGAGCATTGGGGCAGTTTTTAGGTGCAATGTCTTCAATTGAGCATCTTAACCTTAACATAGGAACCTTGAACATTGTTGAACACCTCATTTGGGGGGCTCTCTGACTGGCACGCATGGGTGATGTCGGTGATTTCATCCGCGCAGTGAATGTCGGTCTTCAAACCGACAATCCAGCCCAGCTGCTAGGAACATGAGTCCAAGAGCAAATGTGTCGAAAACCGCAGAATCACTTGTGCAATCGCTACACGCCGCGTCAGAAGTTGCAAAGGTAAGATTCCTCAGGTTTCGGATACTGTTTTCCCATCTTTCTTCCCGAGACACACCCATCATCATTCCGCACCTCTTCTTCCCCTTCTTCTCCTTCTTGGCTTTCTTCTCCTACCACAAGAACAAGCAACTGGAGCAGTTGCAAAACTATAGTCAACTTCAGCACGCCTTACACCAGGTCCGATGTAGGAATCTCAGACCGTCAATGGCTTTCAGCACCATGCAGCCTACGTCCATTGCCCCGGGGCCGTTCGACCAACGCCGTCGTTCACAGCGTGGCCGGAGGTCCGTTCCGCGCCTTCGTGACGACTACGTCGGAATCATCGTCACTCATGGCCACACATCGAGGTGCGAAGCTGGGTACGAGGTTTTTTGAGTCTGACGCATACTGTTGGTTTGTGCACTTGGGGTATAAGTATCTGCCACAAACCTGATAGGGGAAGCATGGATGAGTTCGGCAAGTGGTCTGGATTTTGAGAAAGACCCGTGTGGTCGGCAGCATGTAGAAACCTCAATCTGTTGCGTATCCATCACTTACGATCAATACATTAAATGCTATACTTGACTGTCCAAGACTTGATGCATCTTGCCGCATTCATGCTAAACCAGTCGCTCCAACAATTTCGACCAATGCTTCTCTTATTCAGCAAGTCGTTGCCAGAGTCAAAATGGAATCAACAATGTGAAGTAAGTGTGTCGTTAGTTTTAGCCTGTGTCTGAGTCTAGGACGTGTTAGAGTGCAAGACCGTTGCATTCATGATATGCCTTCCTGTCCTGAGACCAGCTCTACGTAAAATGACTATCGGAGGAGCAAGCACTGGCATCCAAAAAACCCATGGCATTCTATTTCCCTGCAGAAAACACACACAATCAACAATGGATGTCGTTCAAGTCCCATCTGCATCATCTGCTAGACTCGTGACGACCCGCCTTTGACGATGATCCTTCGGATCCCTTCGCTGAGACGATAAACCATTCGCACCGACCGGATCCCGGTGAACGAAACAATGGATGAACTCACAGATTTGGGAGGATTCACTTAGATGCAAATTTGACCAAGGACTCTTTTTGGGATGCTCCAAGTGGATGTGTCGGTCTGCACCGAGCCCCCCGGATCCAACCAAACCGCTGCCTTCGTCAACCACTCCAAACGTCCCGTCGCCAGACGGTCGTCCCGTTCAGTCGTCGCCTCCGCTCCACGGCCTAAGGCCACCTCTTGGATCTTCTCCAGTCGTCCGGACAATTGGATCCCGCGTCCTGGGACCGGTCAACGGGGGCGGCCGGTCTCGACCGGTCCGGAACAGGGGGTCACCGAGACCGTGCCAAGTGCCGAGAAGTCACCAAGCTGAAACGACGCCCCGTGCTGACCCTGACGGTCTACGAAGTAGGCCATCTTGATTTGTTCATCCCCCTTACGGTACTTGTGCCTTGGCGGTAACATGTTTCATTGTATAAAGAGATTGTTGCAATAGAATGAATAGGCGTGATCTATCAAGGTTTGTGTTTTTAGATGTTTTTAGAATGAAAAGCACATTGTTTTATAAAATGCTTTAATCCACATTTGAAGAATGAGTTTGGCCTTGATCCAAGAAGCCTGCTGGCCTCCCTCCTTTGAAGACCTGCCTTTTTTATAACATGACCTATCTCTTCTTGCAAAAACCTTGATTTATGCGCTCCAAATAAGTAGCACATTTTGTGTTTATAGAATGACCTGAGTTAGGCCATTCTATAAGGGACACAAATGTTGTATAAGCAAACAAGTGTGGAGGATATTTGTTCTAGTTGCTTCCTTATAATTACATATGGTTATCCAGAGGAACAAGCATTCTCCTGAGGAACAGTGGTATGGTGGTCTTATGTCTCTGTCAACACTGAGAGGCTGGGAGGCCTTCAAAAGCCATTTGGACAGGCGCTGGCGCACATCGCCAGATCCAAAATCAGCCTCTCTGACAGGGCGGATTAACGCATGTGCGTTCGGCCCGACCCAAAGGCAAACCATATATGTGTTCCTTGTGCGGGCTTAAACATCTGAAGCAGCGGACCCGGACCCATAAAGGAGAAAACGACCAACTGGATCCAAAGGATAGCTATCCTCCCCTCCAACCGGCTGTTCCAGTGGACCACCGGCTGCTTGCAACATGGTCTTTCCAGTGGCCACCTTCCACTTCGATGATTCTCGGAGGGGAGTGTTGCATATACATCAATACTCCATCCACTTGGAGAAAAAGAAATACACAAAACACAGAAAACAAATGAAAACAACCAATCCGCTCAACAAACAACAGATCTGATCTTGCAGGGCAGCCCCAGCATCTGTCCTCGGCTTTTGCCAGCAGGCTTTAGAACCCAAATGTTCTGACAGCCTCAAACTGCTTGAGAACAAGCGGACGCACAATGGGTGTGAACCGGGTTCTTTGGGCAAATCTATGAAAGCTTGGGCTTGGGTCTCAAAACATGTTGCCTGCTGAGGCTTGGGTCCCGCAGTAGGTCAGGGAGCCTCACACCGAGACAAAGAACGTCGAGTGGTGAATGCCCTTGGTGAGCGGCAACGGCTGTTTTAAACCTCATGCTAAGCAAGCAAGGTTTGATAATGGGTCACAGCGCGCGACCTCAAATTGGAATCGTCAGGAGAGTAAGTAGATTCAGCCATGCAGGCACCAAGTCACAAGGAAACGGCTACTCCTTTAAGTTTCAAGTTTCAAGTTAACTACTTCTCCTGTCGTTTTGCCGGGTTCCTTTGCTCAAACGACTGAGGCACCCGAACCATCAAGGCCGGATTGTGGATGTCGAAACTCCTGCTAGCTACTGGACTGTACCCATCTCTTGTTTCTTTCGAGCGCGTTTTTGAGCGAAAAGAAAAAAAACTTGTATTCCAGATAGTCTCGATCTCTGATCTTAACACACGGGTCACTTCCATATGAAGATCCAAATACCCTCTGACAAGGTGATCCACTACCCTAGCAGTCTGATCCCTAGGCATGCTACCGGGTCCGCTCTCAAGTCCGGTGGATCCGTGAAATCCCGGGCCCTGGGCGGCCCGCCCATGGGGTGTGGGCCCTGGGTGTGTATTGGAATAGGGAGACCCTCCATAGATCACCGGATGGCGAAAGAACAACCAAAATCCATTGGGCCAGGGGGGTCTGCCTATTACCAGCTATACGGAACCTGAGGTGGGACGGGTGTTTCCAGTCACGCGTCACGGATCTTCCAGTTGACAAACGTGACAAACCAAGTATATAAACATGAGTAAAGCAATTGACTGGATTCTGACTGCTTTTTAACTTCATTTTCTAGGGGTTGCAATGATTAGCATGCTGGATTCATTTCAAGTACACAAAACGTGTTCCAGTTGAAGGGTTGAATACTGGGTTGATTGCATTCCTTCACACACGCCACCTCATCTGAATCTGGCAGTATCGGCACTTGAACCTGCCCCATCGCATCCATCCTTCCTCCTTTCGGCTATATGAACACCATCGAGCTGTGCCCAGTCACCTGGTCGTCGTCCTTGTCGTCCAGGACCACCCGTCCTCCAGAATCCGGGACGCTTCCTCAAGCAGCGCCTGACCATGCAGCCAAGCTGCTGACCATGGAGTGACTCAGCTGGGTCATGTGGGTCCGGCCCTGGGGATCTGGGTTTTTCCCACCGAACATGAACAGAATAGACGACCGTCCTCTGTGTACCAGGGTGAACAAAACGGGCAACCCGTTTTAGGAGGGAGAGTGGTTGTGATGCCAAGAATCTTCTGTGTCCCTGTGGAGTGGAAAACAGGATGGGACGGAAGATATCCAGGAACCGACGGATCCCCTGGAGAATTCGAGCCTAGGCTTGGGTCGCAATTCTATAAGGAACCCACTAGAGGTGTGCACCAAAAGTCTCTATATGTCTCTATAAAACGATCAAACCAGCCTTGAAGCACAATGGACAGCCTATAAAATGTGAGCACCCACCCTCCTCGCATTTGATCGACTTTACTCCTCCACACTCTCTATGAAATCAGGACTGACATCAGAAATTCTTGAGAATCAAGAAAAAGCTCAAACATTGATGTTTGTTGGGGTGCCCGACTTTAGAGAAAAACATTGCAAACCACATGTTTTTTTCTCAATCAAATGCCCCTGATTTTGGGCACCCAGGGTCCCCAATTCTACCAGGGATATTCCCATGGGGATGTTAGATGTCTGTTTCTTGATGTTTCTTGGAATGTAATCCCTCTCGAAGCAAGATAGAAGCTCGTGGACTTAGTCGAAGGAAAATTGCGGTCTTGTTAGTTAGTCTTTGGGGGTATCACGGGATAGATGCATCGATGCTACAAAGGACCACTATTCTAACAAAAATAATAAATACAGTCGAAATGCATGCAAGTTCACCTCCTTCTATATATATATATTGCAAATGTGGTAGTCGCGCTCGAAGTCGACCAGCAGCAAACGAAACACGACGCGCGAAGGCGCCGCACGGCGCAGCCCCTTTTCCAAAGGGCGTTACCCACCCGCCTTGAGTGGGAAAGGTCCGTCGGTGGTGACATGTGCTGAAATGCAGTACGAAAACCTGAGTCACCTATGTTGAACAGCGTTCAACTCACACAGGGGAGGAACTTTGGCTGCTCGGTGACTCAGCTACAGAAAAGGTGCCTTCCTTGTGCAGCTCTCCGGCTTCAAGCCAGGTGCAAATGGCCGTCCTGAGGGACGAACCTCCAGACACTGAGATGCTGTCTGGGGGAAGAACTCTTGTGCTGCACAGGCTACATGGATCAAAATGATCTACATTCCTTGGGTCTCGGCCGTCCAGCGAGCTGCAGGCTTGGCTAACATGCAGCTTTCTGCCATGCTTGGCGATGAAGATGCCAATGTGCAAGGGGCACTCCATCCTGTGGGCGTCCATCTCTCTCAGGCACCGGCGCATGATGTTGCCAGCGCGGTAGGTGAGCTCTCCAACATACTCCATGTTGGCAATGGCGAGCTTCAAGGCTTTTCCGCTTTCCATGGACGCACTTTCAGCTTCCAAAGTGCGAAGCTTCCATTCTTCAATCTCAGCACGGAGGCGACTGGAGACAGTGGTGTCCTCAGTCTGGGTGGTGGCATCCGCACAATGCACCTTCTGATCAGGTGCCCAATTCCATCGGCTCCATCGGCCCAAAAGAAACAACGTGCCAGCCAACAGGCTGAGGATAGTGATCACCGTCACAGTGAGGAAATCAGGTTCCTCTGCAACAAAAGCACAAATGCCCAAAGCAAGACATTCCTTAGGCGACACTTGATGACATACGGCATGCGGTCGTCGACATGGCTGGAAGCAGCAGAGGTGTCATTCACAAGGGCTTCATGCTCTTCCGGAAGGATGTTATATTCATAGGCCTCCAAGAAGTAGGAGACTGTGTCTTTGGTGATGGCCATGTGCACATACTCATTCACAGGGTCAACTTCAGTCAACTCTACATTCTGTTCAAGGTCGTGCTCCAGTCGAGTTGCTCGATGAGGTTCATCTGCTTCGGCGGCTGGACTGAGGGTGCTCTCCTGGATGCTGGCCTTCAACTCATCTTTAGTCTTCTTCTTTGCAGCTTTATAGGTGGGGTCCCAGATGAGTTTGAGCTTGCCGTAGCGAAGACGTTGTGCCAACAGATTGCGAGCAGCTTCCTTAGTAAGGCCATCAGCCAACTGTCGTTCTGACGACATCGGAGATTTCCTCCGAGAGCCAGCAAACGTTCCTTCATCACTCTGACTTCGAGTGACACACGCTTGTCAACCACAGAGTTGCTGTAGCCTTCACGATGAAATGAGTCATAGAGGGCCTTGGCATCAGTTACCATCGTGGGTGCCAGTGGTGACTTGCAGTCAAGGAGGTCTTGCAACTTCTGCCTTGGATCGAGCAAGCAGCTCCAAAACACGCAAACATGTTCCAAGGCGTCGCACGCTTGTCCACCAGCTTGGGCTTCAGCACCCAAAGAGGATCTTGCAACTCGAGGTGTTTTCTGACTTTTCCAGTCCACGATGTGGTAGGCTCCTTCTGGTCCATCCGGCTTGAGGAGATCGCCGTGGATGAGGACAATGATGTAGCCAAGTTGCGAACTGCTGTCATTTCTGGTGGCAAAGGCGGCGTCGAAGAAACACAACAATCTCAACTCCTGTACTGGTCCAAGAGGTTCATAGACCAAGCCAACATCGGAGTTCTCCTTGGCAAACTTCAGGAGTCGGTTGCAGTCCATCATGGTTTGTGTGGATGCCTTTGAGATGCAGCCACTCAGAAGGGATGTGCTTCCTTGTAGGTGTGGACTCGACTGCACGGCAGGCCACTGTAGTGAGCCAAGTAGAGCTCGAAGTTGTGATACATCCTTTTCGGAGGCAGCTTCAGCAGGATCACGACGTTTGTCGATGGTGATTGGCTTGACTTTCTTCATATATGTGTCCTGCTCAATCTTGTAGCCACCGGAGTTGGTGAGCTTGATGTCGCAGCCACAGTAGGACAGGTCAGTGCCATCAGCTCCGGTCTTCCACTCTCTGAAGTTGAACGTGCTCTTGAGCTTGGTGATGACAGAGTGGTAGGTCGTGGAGTCGTTGGAGCCACAGCCCAACATATCATCAACATGCATGATGATGATGCCACATAGACCACATGGTCCTAGCAAGTGTGGGTGCTCATGCTCGGGGTTGTACTCATCATTGAGATTCGCCTCGTAGGCCAAGAAACAACATGGATCTTGTGGATGCTGACGTAGGCCCATGCTCAATAGCTTATCAACTGCGGCCATGTACCAGGATCTTGGAGCATCAATCTGACCGTAGCAGGGCTTGAGAAGAAGCATCCTCGTGTCAGCTGAGGCACCGAGCAAATCAAGACATTCTGCAGGGAGTTGTACCCATAACTTTCTGCTTTGAGGCTTGCCCTGAAGAAATGCAGTGGCGATGTCGGATGTCCAAACTGGCCATCTCATGTTGGCGGCCAGGCTCAACAGCATGGATCGGGACAACCTCGTCGTTGTGGGTGACGAAGTGGGCACGGTGCCCTCCCAGGCATCTGGATCCATGAAGCCACGGACAATGAGCCGCGCCTTGGCGCGGGGAGTCCCGTCCGGGTTCCTCGACCATTTGAGCAGCATGCGGCTTGTCAAAGTCCTTGATGGTTCAGCTTCTTTCGTGGTCTCGAAGGCCCAGACTTGGTTGTCGAAGAACGACTGCAATTCTTTCACCTTGGCAGCCTTGAACTGTGCCCTCTCCTCTGGAGTCATTGTGCGCTCGGTCAAGTTGTTCTTGTCCTTCTTGAAGGCTTTTGCATGACGCTGCTTGGTGATCTTGCCCATTTGGCGAGCTCCAACCAATGGCTCCTTGACATACATTGCATACTCCTTTCTCACATGACCCTTGATCTGGAACACAGTGACGCCTGTCCAGGAGGAATCGCAAGGTGGAGTGGTACATGTGCCATCATCAGTTTGCTGTGTGCATCGGCCATTGGTGTCATAGATCACGGTCACTCGCACATTGTCCAGTTCCGAAGCTGGAAACGGTGCATCACGAGGTAGATGGGCAAGACTCATCTTCTGTCTCCTGGGCGTGAGGTGGTGGCGGATCATGCAGCCCGCACGAACTTCCCAGTAGTCCATCGGGTGCTTCTCGAGCTGGAAGTATCCATCTTCATGGGTCCAACCACGAGGAAGGCAATTGGCCGTGAGTTGCTCGACCATGAAGGCCTGAGACAGAAGTGCGGCATCCTCTGCAGGAACAGCCGTTGCTCCAGGTGCAGCTGAGCCTGAGGCAGGTGCTGGTGTTGGTGGTTCATAAGGATCAGCAGGTCGATGAAGGCGGTGTCGCCATGGACCAAAGCTCAACGTTTCCTGCCGATTGAAGCGATTGCGTCTCTCTTGGAAGGACTCAGCATCAACAGGTTCATAAAGTGCTGCAGTGGCTGGATCAAGACTGGGTGTCTCTTGTGGTGCGTGAGGAGTTGGAACCGTAGGTTCTGCGCCTGGTTCTGCCACACTCGGAGATGGTGGTTGTGATCTTGATCGTCTGGAGCCAGGAGATGCAGGCAGCGACAAGGGCACTGGTATGTGTGCAGCTGAAGTTGTCAGGGTCACTGGCTGTGGTGGATCCTGATCGTCTTGTTCAGTCAGTGGAGGAGCCATCAAACCAGTAGGTGATGTAGGAGCATAGCCAGAGTGAGCTGGAGACGTCGGTGAATACTCTTCGGCATCGATCACTACAGGAGGTTCCTCTGGCAGTTCATGTTCTGGAGGATGAAGACGTAGTCGATGAGCTGGAGGTGGTGTGATGTCATCGTCAAGGTTTCCATCAGGCTCATCGATTTGTTCATCATCATCGACATCCTCAAGTCGTTGCCGATTGACTCGATTGAGGTCGTACCATCTGGTCGCACCTCGGGACTTGAGCTGTCTCACCAGGTTGAGGGACTTCTGAAGGTCGTCAATCACGTGCTCCGGGCCAAGGATATCACTCCTCACATGATGTGGTGCTGCGCGGATCAACTGTGTCTTGTAGGCGAGCCAGTAGGTCTTGACCTGAGGCTTGTCAGATCCATGGGGAGTGTGTTCCTCGCGCATGACCACATGTGCAGGTCCAAGCCAACGGATCTTTGTGAGAAGTCCTTGACGAGCATCTCTCCAGAACCAAACCCGCTCTCCCAACATGAACTCTTTGTTTTGACCTTTGTATCGGCGACCAAGGGCACGGCGTAGTTTGCTGTCAGCATCAGCCGTAGTCAAGGCAATCTTTGCAGCGGTACGCTTCTCCAAATTGGCCTCAAAGGTCTCATTGGAGCCACTCAACTGTGCTGGGTTCAGGTTGGTGTCCAGGAGGTGGGAGAGCTCAGGCTGGTATCCCAACACCCATTGCGAAGGTGAGAAGCCAGCAACCGATGGTGTGCCATTCTGTTGAGGAATGATGTGAGTGATGGCCTCTCTAACGCCTTTCTTGTTGTCGAGCTTGCGGTCACTGAGATAGACCTCAATAGCTTTGCGAAGCACTGCATGCCGGCGTTCTACCAAAGCAAGTCGCTCGTGAGCTTCACCAGGGGCAACCTGATGATCGATACCCCATGACGTAGTCCAAGTCTCCATGGAAGCTCCGAGCCAGGACCGTCCTTCATCGGTCACCAAGATCTTGGGTGGTCCAAAGTGCCTGAGCCACATTTTCTCAAGTGCCATGACATAGGAGTCGGAGGTCTCATCGTCCAGCAGGTAGGCAGCCATAAAGCGAGTCGCCACATCAACCAGGCTCAGCACAGGCAGTTTCCGGTCATTGACCTTCAGGTAGAAGACATCGGCCTGGATGACGTCGTTGAAGTTGCGACTTTGAGGCATTGAGGCAGGAGCCACTTCATTGGGCTTCTTGTACTTGGCGCATGCAACACATTGATACTTTCGAGCTGCTTCAACCACGGTGGACGTTGCTCCTCTGGCCACGAGCAAATCGGCCAGGGCTTCGGGAGGCGGATGACCCAGATTGCGATGCAATCGTTGCACTGTTCGAAGAGCGTCAGTGCGGTGCTCAGCATGTAGCTTGACAAGGTGTCCAGCAGCTTTCGTGGTGCTCACGGCATGCGCCATCTCCCAATGTTGAGGTAGTTCAGGTTGCATGATTGCTGCAGCCAAGGTTGCCGCAAAACCAGGTTGGTAGTCTTCCATGTATGTGGTTCTGGAACCTAGGCCAGGTGCGCTTCCTTCAAGGCGGCAGTGTTCATGATCATGTTGACATAGGAGGTGCATAGCTTCAGCGACTGCCTTCTTGGTAGTCTGGATGCGCGTTGGCTTCTGAGTAGGCTTCCATGAGCCATCAACATCAAGACACTGGGCTCCATAGCGACATTGGTCGAACTCAGCAGCATAGCCAGGGAGAGTTCGCAAGGCAGTGGTCTTCCAGCTGAGGGCCAAGCGAGGTTGTTCCAGGTGACAATGTCGTGCGCCCTCGACTTGATTCATGTAGACCTTCTTGCAAAAGCGCAAGTGCCGGCGATGGTGGTGCTCTCGACTGGCGATGAGGGCTTCTCGTTGAGCATCAGTGCGACAGGCCAAAGTCTGCATCCTCGACCATAATTTGCACGCAGGAGCCAGGAGGATCTCATCGGGCATCTCTTCGAGCTGTTTCTCGAGGAGGAGTCTCTGATGGTCGAGCAGGTTGAAGTCCCAACCATTGTCCAGGCTGAAGCGTTCAACACGCATGCCCATAGACTCAGCCAGTTGCGACGTTCTGCTGCGGCCACAATAGACTTCCCATAAAACACGTTGTGCAGGAGCTTCGCTGTGCAGTTCTTTGGTGACATAGGCCTCAAGCTGATTGGCGGCAGTGACCAAGCCAATCTCCATGGTGTGCAGTTGATGACGTCGCAATGGTTGATACGACAGTCCATTGTCTTCCAACAGCTGGTCGCCTGCAAGGAAGATGTGCTCCATCTGGTTGAAGTCGTGAAGAAACAAATGACTTCCAGGTACTTCTTCAGCGATGTTGAGCACGAAGGCGGCCTTTGTAGGATCTGGCACTGGATCCATGCCAGTCGTGAGGGACAACAGATACTCACCATGTCTGCCTCGAAGAACTGGGTGCCAAGGAGATGCACCAAAGCGAACCTGCTTTCCACTGAAGTCAATCCCCATATGGAGGGCCTCAATGACTGGCCTTCCCATCAACATAGGAGTGTTGCCGGGGATCAGGTAGCATTGGATGGTGCCATACTGCCCGTCAATCATGACCGGAAGGTCAACAGTCCAGCGAGCAGAAGAAGAAGCGTCGCCACCGAACTGGAAGTTTCTCTCACAGCGAGCAAACCTGATGGTGTTCACTGGATATCCGAGCTCGCTCAAGTGTTCCACATAGCGCTTGAAGGGGCCATAGCCGCTCAGAAAGGCGGAAGCACCAGGATCCAACATCGTTGCTTCGGGATGATCTTGTCCATGCTCATCCTGAAAGAGAACCAATGCGGTCTCCGAAGCAACAGCCATGCCTTCAGTCGTCGAACTTGGAGCTGGACGCTTGTTGCTAGGTGATGAGCTCCCTTTGGCATTCTGTGGACATGAGGCGGCCCAATGGCCAAGTTGGCCACAACGGAGACATGTCATCGAAGCAGTGGCAGCTTTTGCTCTTCCTTTGGGATCGGCCTTGCCTCCTGATGACGGAGGGTAGCGAATGGTGTTGGAGCCCTTCCCCTTCGACTTGGACTTTCCTTTTCCTTTTCCACGGCCTTTGTCATGACCTTTTCCCCGACCTGTTGGCGTGGTAGAGGATGATGAGGCAGCGGTTTGACCATCTGTCAATGCGACCACTGGCAAGTAGCCGCGAGCAAGCTTCAATTGCTGGAAGCGCTGCCGAGCATCCACGTAGGTGGCATATGCAGAGTCGTAGGCCTCGGCCACGGAAGCAGCATCTTCGTCATAGCCATCGTAGTCGTCATTGAACTCATCTTCTCCTCCATAGTAGATGGCTTCATCATCGAAGGCTGCATCCTCATAGTCAGGGACGTAGGGCTCTTCAGCCTCGTACCATTCATCTTCATAGTAGGCCTCGTCCCAGTTGGATTCATTGGGCTCTTCGTCGAAGGCAGCATAGCCTCGTCCTTTCCATCGAGCTTGTGGTCGGCGATCAGGTGACCATCCACCGGCCTTGTAGTCCTGACCATAGAGGAGGAAGAGAGCTTCAATCACGTTGGGCTTCTCGAGTGTTGGAGCCTTTAAGGTCACCATCTGTCGTTGCTCTCTGGTCAGGCCAGCTCGTTTGAGCAAGTGCCAACCTTGGACCTGGCTGGGCCAGGTGATCTTGTGGCCGGTGATCTTGCGATAGGCCTCATCATGGTCGGTCACGAAGGACAGTAAGCTCTGCTGACTTTTCCGCTGGAGGTTGGTGAAGTAGTTCTCGAAGTCATTCGGCAAGAGGACGCGATCGTCATACTCAAAGTTGCGGTCCAAGCGGGATAGGACCTTGCTGAAGGCATCTTCCTTCTCGCAATCCTCGACCGGGAAGTCCTCGAAGAGGCGCCAGACAACTCCGGTGAATGACCCGATGATGTTCAGCACGGCCTCCCCTCCTCGTTTGCTCAACAGCATCTTCTTGTGATAGAGACTAAGCCTTTTGCGGTATTCTTTGTACTCTGCAGGCTGGCCATTGAAGAGGGGGACAAAGGAATCTCGAAGATTCTGAAACTCCGCCGTTTGCGGATCTGCAGCCTGCGTCGGTGGTGGCATGGTGGAGGCACTCAGCCAAAGAGCAACAGAGCGAGGTCAATCTCGTGCTCGGCTAAGTGTGGGTGACGTAGGGCTTAAGCAGGACCTCTAGCAAGTGCAAGCGAAGGTCGCTGGAGCCGGAGCTCCGCTACCAATGCAAATGTGGTAGTCGCGCTCGAAGTCGACCAGCAGCAAACGAAACACGACGCGCGAAGGCGCCGCACGGCGCAGCCCCTTTTCCAAAGGGCGTTACCCACCCGCCTTGAGTGGGAAAGGTCCGTCGGTGGTGACATGTGCTGAAATGCAGTACGAAAACCTGAGTCACCTATGTTGAACAGCGTTCAACTCACATATACCTAGAAGCACCTGGGGCAGAAATTTCTGCCTCAGTCCGGTTTGCCCGGGAGGATTCGCGGATTTAGGGGAAATCCGCGCCAGGTAGGAATTTCTGCGGGCAGCAGGGAATTTTTGCCTCAAGCAAAATCCAACATAGCAACTCAAAAACCATTACAACCTACCAGGTTGTCTCTTCCATGATTGCAGACCACATACCGTTCTGCATAGCTTCACATCTCAAGATCTGACACCCTACGATTTTGACACTTCTAAATTCATGACATTCACAGAGAGGCTGCGACATATGTTCAAGCCCTTCAAAGGCATCAAAGGCACTGTTCTTGAATCCCGCCTTCTACCAGGAAATTGCCGCCGGCTTCCCGGGTATTTCCGCCGTTTTCCCGGGTATTTCCGCCTCTTTCCCGGGTATTTCTGCCTTTTTCCCGGGCATTTTCGCGCCAGGTGTTTTCAACTTTAGACTGATTTTAGTCCTTTTGTGATCATTCCGCACAAGAAACCTTCAAAAGCAAAGACACATATATGATATGATGGTAGCCAGATTTGCAGGTGGAGGTGGAAACTTAAGCGCTGCAAATTGCTTTTTCTCATTGCGGTGACTG